AAATGACTTGTCTAGTGTTGTTTGGGGGTTAGAATATTTTACGATACAACAAATTTGATTTATTACAAGTGCTAGAGATGAATGAAGAGTGTTTAGAAGTGTGGAGAGAAACTTGTTGAAATTTTGTTCCAAATGAGCTAAGAACTCAGAAATATTGCGTTGAACCACTAAATTTATTTTCTAGTGTTGTTTGGGGTTAGAATATGTTATAATATAATGAATTTGATTGATTGCAAGTGGTAGAGATGCATGAAGAGTGTTTAGAAGTGTGTAGAAAGACTTGTTGAAATTTGGTCCACAATGGGCTAAGAACCCACAAACATTGCTTTGAAGCATTAAATGGCTTGTCTAGTTTTGTTTAGGATTAGAATATGTTAGAATACAATGAATTTGATTGATTACAAGTGCTAGAGATGCATGAAGAGTGTTTAGAAGTGTGGAGAATGACGTTGAAATTTGGTCCGAAATGTACTAAGAACTCAGAAACATTGCTTTGAAGCTGTAAATGACTTGGCTAGTGTTGTTTAGGGTTAGGATATGTTAGAATACAATAAATTTGATTAATAACAAGTGCTAGATATGCATGAAGAGGGTTTAGAAGTGTTGAGAAAGACATGTTGAAATTTGGTACCAAATGGGCTAAGAAACCATAAACATGTCTTTTAAGCAGTAAATGGCTTGTCTAGTGTTGTTTCGGGGTTAGAATATGTTATAATACAATGAATTTGATTGATTACAAGTGATAGAGATGAATGAAGAGTGTTTAGAAGTGTGGAGAAAGACTTATTGAAATTTGGTCCGAAATGGGTTAGGAACCCAGAAACATTGCTTTGAAGCATTAAATAGCTTATCTAGTGTTGTTTGGGGTTAGAATATTTTAAAATACAATAAATTTGATTGATTACAAGTGATAGAGATGCATGAAGAGTGTTTAGAAATGTGGAGAAAGACTTCTTGAAATTTGGTCCCAAATGAGGTAAGAACTCATAAACATTGCGTTGAACCACTAAATTTATTTTCTAGTATTGTTTGGGGTTAGAATATGGTAGAACACAATAAATTTGAGTGATTAAAAGTGCTAGAGATGCATGAAGAGTGTTTAGAAGTGAGGAGAATGACTTGCTGAAATTTGGTCCACAATGGGCTAAGAACCCACAAACATTGCTTTGAAACATTCCATGGCTTGTCTAGTGTTGTTTGGGTTAGAATATATTAGAATGCAATAAATTTGATTAATTACAAGTGCTAGAGATGCATGAAAAGTGTTTAGAAATGTTGAGAAAAACTTGTTAAAATTTTGTTCCAAATAAGATATGAACTCAGAAATATTGCGTTGAACCCCTAAATTTATTTTCTAGTGTTGTTTGGGGTTAGAATATGTTATAATACAATGAATTTGATTGATTTCAAGTGGTAGAGATGCATGAAGAGTGTTTAGAAGTGTGTAGAAAGACTTGTTGAAATTTAGTCCACAATGGGCTAATAACACACAAACATTGCTTTGAAGCATTAAATGGCTTGTCTAGTTTTGTTTGGGATTAGAGTATGTTAGAATACAATGAATTTGATTGATTACAAGTGCTAGAGATGCATGAAGAGTGTTTAGAAGTGTGGAGTATGACGTTGAAATTTGGTCCCAAATGGGCTAACACTACAAGAAAACACGCGTATTGCGAGGGAAATATGCTAGGGAAATAATGCCTAGCAAATTTGCGACGTTATAACTAGAGTTTTGCGAGCAACACGACGCGCCTCGTAGAATACTCGCAAATTTTCTAGGGAACAGATCCTCGCACTATTGCGAGGAGCTTGCAACCGCTTTGCTAGGTCCCAAAACTCCCTCGCAAGGTAGTAGCTAAATTGCGAGATAATAACTAGGCAACAAACTTATTAAATGAAATGGCAGATGTTGTCGAAAACTGGATAAATCCCTCGCGAGTTGGTTGCAATTGCCTAGCATGCTCCCTAGCAAGTTCGTAGCAAAGTTAGGCGAAAACATTTTAAATGACTTTGACAGAGTTGTCGGGATAAAGTTCTAACTTGAGTTGGAAATTGTGAGGCAAGATTCTCTTTCTCTCGCAAACGTCTAGCAAATATCTAGCAATTCCGTAGCGAAAGTTAGGCGAAAACTTTTTACATCGTTTGACATTGTTGTCGGGATATAGTTCGCAGATTTGTTGGAAATTGTGAGACAACACTCTTTCCCTTGTAAGAGCCTCGCAATCTTCCCTAGCAACTCCATAGCACTCGTTTTTTTCCCCTATAAATAGCAAATCCATGTTGAACTGAAATCATAACTCAAACATTTGCAAAACACAAAGCTATTCTAGAAAGAAAAAGTTCTCCAAAGTGAGCCATTTGAAAAAATGGCTGGAAGCAGAGAGCATGAGATATACACAATACGACGATGGATGTACAATTATAGAGATCCGGAGACCGGTGATGTGACGAGAGAATTTTGCGATGGTTTTACGGGGGTTCATGTACCAAGCAACAAACCAACCTTTTGCTCGTGATAACGGTACAATTTTCTGTCCATGTCGTAAGTGCGTAAATGAAAAATACTTGGAGTTTAATCTAGTGAAGAAACATCTTTATAATAGAGGGTTTATGCTTAAATATTATGTATGGTTTCGTCATGGAGAGGGTTGTAGCGATAATGCTGGAAGTAGTACGCATAATGTTGTTGGTCAACCTAGTAATTATGAAAATTATGGGCATCAAGAATATGATCAATTTGGTTTTCATGGGTTTAACCTAGAAAATAGATTCTATGATATGGTTAATGATGCATTTCCTGAAAGTAATCCTGCTTTTGCTGAGAGTAGTACAGAAGAACCCAACGTAGATGCGAAACGTTTTTATGATATGTTAGATGCTGCAAATCAACCTATCTACGATGGATGTAGAGAAGGGCATTCTAAGTTATCATTGGCATCTAGGATGATGACAATTAAAGCTGATAATAACTTAAGTGAAATTTGCATGGATTCATGGGCTGAGTTAATCAAAAAATATTTGCCAGAAGATAATTTATCGGCTGAGAATTACTATGAAATCCAAAAGTTGGTTTCAGGTCTTGGGTTACCATCTGAAATGATTGATGTATGCGTTGACTACTGCATGATTTTCTGGAAAGATGATGAAAAGTTGCCGGAATGTCGGTTTTGCGGGAAGCCGAGATATCAGGATACTCAAGGAAGGACGCGAGTTCCATACAAACGTATGTGGTATTTGCCAATCACTGATAGATTAAAACGCTTATACCAATCAAAGAGGACTGCAGCAGCAATGAGGTGGCATGCAGAACATTCTACTGCAAATGGAGAAATTACACATCCCTCAGATGCAAAGGCGTGGAAACAATTTCAAACGGTATATCTTGACTTTGCTCAAGAGTGTAGGAATGTTTATCTTGGTTTGTGTACCACTACAAGAAAACAGGCAAAATGCGACTACGATTACCGACTATATCTATAGTCGCTTATTTAGCGGCTATAAGACAACTCAGTAGCGACTACATACCGACAATATTTTCCGTAGTCGTTAAATAGTCGGTCAGTAGCGACTACAAGAACTGGTCGTCACGTAGTCGGATATTAACGACTAATGGGCGACTATATATTGTAGGTCGGTAATTAGTCGTCGACTAGTCGGTAATTTGCGACCAGTTCACGATGATATATTTTAGTCGTTGTTTTGACGACTATGCAGCGACTACCCAAGTTTGTCGTCCACTAGTCAGCTAGTAGTCGCTCATTAGCGACTACCCTCCGACTAAATCGGCGGATCGTATAAATAACGACTTAATGCCGACTAGTATAGCCGTCGTTTAAGTTCGGTAAAACACGTTTTTCGTTTGTGGTAGGTGTACATATACAACAAATACGAACCATTTATTCTAGGTAAGTACAAATTATATATATATATATATATATAGTTTTTTTAATATATATTTCTAATTTATATATATACATGACAGCCTCTCAAGCGAATCAAGTTTGTTATATTCCATATCCATACACCAAAAAACCAAAGCACTTATGGCTAAATGTTCTAAAACTCAATCCGAGGGGAAACATATCAGGATCATATGAAAATAATGATGAACCCACTCTTCTACAAACATAAAATGATGACGCTGTTATGATCACTAATATTGAAGATCTTATAGTAGACAATTTGGTAGAAGAAGAAAATCCAATAAACCTTGATTACGATATCGAAGATGCGGATCCTGAAGATGAATTCCGTTGTAATTTATCATCTTCTGATGACGAAGAAGAAGATGACGAAGAACCATACTAATTAATTTTAGTCTAAGGTAAGATATGTATATTTTTGTATTTTTGTATTGTTTATATTGTGTACTAATGTGTTGTATTATATGTTTGTAACATATTATTATCTAATAAAGTGTGTAAAATAATAGCGACTACAGGATGACTATGAAGCGACTAAATGTGATTGGGCTTTCGCAAAATTAAAGCCCATATCCAATAAAACGACTATTTGGCGACTAATTAGTATTGGGCTTTTGAAATTTACGGCCCAGCTCCAACACTCTGCGTTTTGCTCTTTGAAACACTTACACCTAAAACAGAAACCCTAAACGCCGATCGACCAAACAATCTCTCTTCTTCTTCGACTCAATCGTTTTCTTCTTCGATTCAATCTTCTTCTTCTTCGAGTCAATCTTCTTCTTCGACTCAATCTTCTTCTTCCTCTCATTCGATCTCATCTTCTTCCAGTTCCATCTTCTTCCTCTCACTCAATTTTCTTCTTCGACTCAGTCTCTTCTTTCTTCCATCAAGACGAAACGATGCCTCGAGAAACTAAGGCCGGACGAGGACGTAAGAGGAAAAATGTTCCCAACGTTTCTCAGAGAGCTGGAGGGTCGACTTCTGCAACCAAAAGACCGACCAATCTACCAAGCCAGTATAATTTCACCCCACCAGTTCAAGTCCCTCCGACTCAATCTCCAGCGGAAGAAGGACCAGTTCATCGACAACAGGCAACGTCCGCACAACAAGTCCGGAATTATCCACCACCACAACATCTTTTCCAGAGCGGCGGAACTGAAGAAGTTGATGCCGCGACTCCGACGTCTGCAGAAGTACACTCTCAAGCTCCAGGGCATCAAAGGCAACACTCTCAAGCTCCAGGGGATGAAAGGCAACACTCTCAAGCTCCAGGGCATCGAAGGCAAAACTCTTCGCAAGGCAACAACTTCCAGGAGGATTGTCCTCGAGTCTTGCCAGAACTCCAGGAGAACACAGCCCGAGCTCTCAATGCTCTCCTAGCTATTCCGGATAGACACTTGTATACAACGGTCCTGTCAATCAAAGATTTGCCGAACACAACATGGTATGACACTTGCCTTTTACAATCTTGTTGTGCATGTTGGTGTTGTTCAAGTTCTCTGTTAATTGGTCTTAGAAACCACAAATTAGTCTTGTTGTTTGTCTAAGAAATTAGTCGTGGTGTTTGTCTAAGGTTTTGTTAGGTGAATTAGTCTTAGAAACCAGAAATTTGTCCTGGTGTTTGTCTAAGGTTTTGTTAGATGAATTGGTCTTATAAACCAAAATTAGTCTTGGTGTTTGTCTAAGGACTTGACGATTGAAATTGTTTAGTGTTGTCTTAACAAGTAATGAGGAATCTCTTAATTTAAAGTGTACGTAGTGATGTATAGAGTGTAGAATGTAGTATCTGTTTTTGATTATTCACAATTTCTAGTTTGATTTCAGTCAATCTCACTTCTCTGTTTTGATTGAATTACAATGTTTACAATTTCTAGTTTGATCTCACTCAATCTCGCTGCTCTGTTTTGATTGAATTCACAATGTTTACTCTGGCTCCTACTTTTGGTTTGATATTTCATGTGCTTGCAGGTTTACTCGGAACCCGAAACTAGTTAAGAAGGTTGTTAAAGTCTTGACTAACAAATTTGATGGACTCTTTTATAACTGGTCTTGTGTGCCTCAGGACAGAAGAGATAGATACTTCATCGAGTTTGCTGTATGGTTTTTGTTCTTCCTTATATAGCCTTCACATATTTACTTTTATATTGTTTCACTAACAAGTCTAACATCATTCTCTTATCTTTGTTTTGTAGAAAACTCACACATGGGATCCCTTGATAACAGGCCAAGTGCAAGAGCAATTTGAGTTGATATGTCAACGCCGGTTGAAAGACATGATTAGCACTGTGAGGACTACTCGAGAGCAACCAAGTTGGATCGTAGACACCATCTGGGATGTTATGGTCGCTTACTGGGACACTGAAGAAGCACAACAAAGGAGTCAAACCTACTCCTCTGCACGTATGTCTGACCGAAAGGGTCTTGGTCCTCACGTCCACTTCTCAGGGCCTAAGTCGTTTCAACAAATCCAATATGAAATGGTAAGTTTACTTGCTTCAGTTTAAATGTTATCTTACACCTTCGTCAAGACTCATACAAAGCCAGATGGTTCGTATGTCGATCGAAAGGCGGGGAAAGTTGGTGAAACTTATGAGAAGAACGTGCAAGATAAGTTGGCTGAGCTTCAGGCAGATACTTCAGCTCTTTCAGATGCCGCTTCACCACCTCGGGAGCTCACAGTAGACGAGATGACGACCATCTTTCTTCAGGTTAACTCACATTTTTCCCTCTGGTTACTCTGTGTTTACTTTTTTATACTCACAAAGACTAACTTTCTGGTTTTATCTTACTTTCATAGTCTACGGAGATGGATTCTCGAGGCATTCCTTATGGAGTTGGAAGCCTTAAGGACAGTCTAGTCAATGGCAAGCTGAATCAACCAGGCAACTCTACATCGTTTTTGGCATTGGAGGAGCAACTGAAAGAAGCTCAACGCAAGATCGAGGAGCAAGTTGCTTACAATGCTAAGCGTGATGCAGAAGCGGTTGCCCGTGAAGCTGAGCAAGCCCGAGCTGTGGCTGAGCATTCCCGAGCTATGGCTGAGCAAAAGGGCCAGATTGAACACTTGACCATGGTAGCAGAATATCTTCGAGAAAATGATCCGCGCTTCTTGGATTTTATGGCTTCCAAATCAGCTGCAGTAGCACAACCTTCCTCAACCAGTGTTCACCAACCAGCTCAACCTACTACTCCATCTCCACTTTAGGTTACTCTCTCTAATTCTCAGCTATCTTCCCTCTTGAACTCATTTTCACTTTCCTTTATCTGTTGGATTTTGTATCTGTAGTGTAGATACATGAACTTGATGTTATCTGGATTTTGTGTTTTGTTAACATGTACCATGTACTCTTTCCTTATCTAATGTTATAATGAATGTTTTTGGATTTAATAGTTTATGAATGTTTTTGGATTGAATAGTTTATGAATGTTAAGTTTATGTACATAACAAATAGGAACCAAAAACAACAACAGGAACCAAATACAACCATTTCAAATACGAACCAAATACAACAATATTCGTATAAATACAGCTTTCGACTAGTCGCCAAATAGTCGTAACATAGTCACAAAGCAGTCGCTCAATAGTCACTATATTTAGCGACTAATTAGTGACTATTCACAACAATCGCGATATAATCGCCTATTCGTCGTCATATAGTCACAAAATAGTCAGCAAAACACCACGACTAAATTACGACTACACTGAGCCAACTCGTAGTTCTTGTGATTCAGTCGTAACTTAGTCGCCAATAAGTCAGTAAATTTTCCTACTATATAGCGACTATGTTGTGACTGTTCATAATAGTCGTATTATAGTCGTTAAATTGCGACTATAATACGACTACATTGTTTAGCGACTACCAAAACGCGACTACACGTTTTAGTCGTCATATAGTCGTACATTATGACATAGCGACTATTGCGCGACTATTGTTGTAGTCGCAGTTTGCCTGTTTTCTTGTAGTGTACAGATGGATTCAGCCTATTTGGTATGTCTGGGAGGCAATATTCTTTGTGGCCTGTTATCTTAACGTCATACAATCTTCCTCCAGATATGTGTATGCAAAGCGAATTTCTATGGTTGAGTATTTTAGTGCCAGGGCCTAAGCATCCGAAGAGAGCTCTCGATATATTCTTGCAACCTCTGATTCATGAGCTGAAGCAGTTGTGGTACGAAGGGGTTCAAACGTTTGATTACTCGAAGAAACAAAACTTCAATATGCGGGCAGTGCTAATGTGGACGATTAGTGACTTCCCTGCATACGGAATGTTATCTGGGTGGACAACTCATGGAAGATTATCATGTCCATATTGTATGGAGCGAACTGATGCGTTTCAGTTGAAGAATGGACGAAAACCATGTTGGTTTGATTGTCATCGTCGGTTTCTCCCTTTGCATCATCCGTACCGAAAGAATAAGAAGTGGTTTAGAAAGAATAAAGTTGTGCGTGTTCCTCCACCGAGCTATGTTTCTGGCAATTATTTGCTAGAACAAATCGATTATTATGGTGCTCAGGAGACATGTAAAGTTGGAGGTAATTGGCACACCCCAGCGAATATGCCAGACGGATACACCTGCACTCATAATTGGCACAAACAGAGTATTTTCAGGGAGCTTCCGTATTGGAAAGATCTTCTCACATCCAGGTTGTGCAAGGGTCGAGTTGCATCTTACGAGAAATGGAAAAATGCCAGTATCCAACTTTCGATTGACCGCAGATGCTAAGAAGGCGTTGTTCGAGTGGATTACATCAGAAGTGAAGTTCCCAGATGGATATGTTTCTAAATTTTCTAGATGTGTAAAACAAGGGCAAAAATTCTCAGGTATGTAGAGCCACGATTGTCATGTCTTCATGCAGCGGTTACTGCCATTTGTATTTCTTGAGCTTCTGCCAACACATGTTCATGAAGCTATTGCGGGTAATAATAGTATACTTATTTAATTCTTTTATGTAGTAGTGATATATTTTACGTATGATTAACTAATTATATTATTTGATTAACTTATTAACTCGTTTTACAAAACCTTCGTAGGTATCAGAGCATTTTTCAGGGACCTATGCACCCGAACATTGTCTTGGGACAGCATTCAGCAGTTAGATGATAATATCCCGGTGTTGATTTGCAACTTGGAGAAAATATTTCCACCTTCATTTTTTGATGTGATGGAACATCTCCCAATCCATCTACCACATGAAGCAGCTCTTGGTGGGCCTGTGCAATTTCGATGGATGTATCCGTTTGAGCGGTTTATGAAATCTCTGAAAGGAAAGGCGAAAAATCTTGCAAGAGTTGAGGGATCGATAGTCGCCGGAAGTCTAACAGAGGAAACTTCCCATTTTACATCTTATTACTTTAGCCCTACCGTGAGAACAAAAAAAACTCGTCCTCGACGATATGACGATGGAGGTGTTGCACCAACCTATAACGTTCCTGATGTCCCGGATGTCTTCGCACAGATAGGTAGACTTGCTGGAAGGTTGAAAGAAGTTTGGTGGGAAGATCATGCCTATTGTCGAGCAGCTCACAATTACATCTTGCGTAATTTGGATTACATCCAATCTTTCGAGAGGTATAACATTTGGATTTTATTTCATATTGATTTTTTAGTTTTGTGTATTTAAACTTTTTCGTGGACTTTAAACTAATAACTTACCATAATTTTGAGTGTAGGATATTTGATTCGCAGATCCGTGAAGCCTTTCCCAATTTAGAAGAAAAAGATTATGAATCTTACAAGGTCCGCGATTTTGCTGGATGGTTGAAGTATTACGTAAGTATAATAATGTAACGATATATATACATGACTTTTACATACTAATATAACGATGCATGAATTTGAATAGGTTCAAAATGGATGTGGAAATGAACCCTTGCCTCTTTGGTTGCATGAGATTGTTCAAGAACCAAGATCGAAGATCACTACGGCTCCGATGTACTTTACTCGCGGTTATACGTTTCATACGTATAATGATGGAATTCGAAGAGGTACAGCAAATTACGGAATCTCAGTAAAAGCTGGTGATAGCGAATTCTATGGTATTTTGCAACAAATATTGGAAGTTGAATACCCCGGTCTTTTGAATCTGAAATGCATACTTTTCAAGTGTGATTGGTATGATCCAACTGTGGGTCGAGGCATGCGAGCAAATAACTTTGGGGTCGTCGATGTTAACGCAAACCGAAGCTATGGAAGATTTGATCCTTTCATCCTAGCATCACAAGAAGAGCAAGTGAGTTTTCTATCCTATCCTCGTTTGCGACAAAGACGTGAAATGTGGTTATCAGTGATTAAAGTGAATCCAAGAGGTCGTATAATCGGGTTAGTTGATGATGTGGTTCTACAACAAGAAAGAGCGGGTGAAGTCTCTATACCAAACATATCAACAGATGATGTTGTTTACATTGATCGGAAAAATAGGGAAGTTGAGGACGTTAACGATGGTTCTGAAGAGGAGGAAGAGGTTGACGAATTTGATGAATCCGATGATGGTGTAGAATCTGATGAGGAAAATGAAAAGTCTAGCGGTGAAGAAAATGAATTTGATGATCAATAAGTGTTTTTTTTTTGTTATAATGGATTTATGTTATTAATAAGTGTATTGTTTTTTAAAAACAAATATTAAAGATTTGAATAAGTGTTTTTGTTATAATGAATTTGTGTTATTAATAAGTGTATTTTTTTTAAAAAACAATTTTAAAGTTTTGAATAAGTGTTTTTGTTAAAATGGATTTATGTTATTAATTAATAAGTGTACTGTTTTTTTTAAAAAACAAATTTTAAATATTTGAATAAGTGTTTTTGTTTAACTAGTGACTTGATTAAGTGATGAAAAAAACCTTTATGATGATGAATTAGTGTTTTCGTTTTTTAAGTTGTATTTGTGTTTTTTTTAAAAACAAATTTAAGGGATGTGCTACGTTGTTTAGGTATACCTAGCTATTCTCTAGCAATAGTGCGAGGAAGTTACGAGATGCTTTTAAATAATGGTCTTCCATAATGCGAGGGGTCTAATGGGCCTATTGGACCTATTGGGCCGTGAAGGCCTAGGTTTTCCCTAGCAAAATTGCTAGGTAATTGCGACGTGTATAATTGTCTATATATACTGCGATGCCCTCGTTTGAGCAAAGCTCAAACCTAGCCGCAAAAACCCTTGTCTATTTGTCTCTTCGTCTTCTCCTCTTCCCCGACTTGCCTCTGTTTTTCCCGATTACTTCCTCTCCGGCGACCTTAATCTTCTTCTTTTCTTCTGATTTATCCGATTAACCCTAATCGTCTTCTTCTCCTCTGTTCTCACCGTCTTCTCCTCTGTTCTCACTGTCTTCTCCTCTGTTCTCACATTCTTCTCCTCTGTGTTCTCCCCAAAGTTGATTTATGCAAGGTATTATCCTTAATCCCTTTATTTCTCGCTTAGATTGTGTAAGTTTTTAGAGTATGGGTTACACACCGGTTATTGCTGGCTATGTCTGGTTTTTGAGTTTTAGCTAGTTTAGATTTCTCTATATATCTAATCGATTGTTTTCAACATCAATACACAGAAAACTCTTTGATATTGCTTTTGTTCAGTTGATACTTTTTGATGTTTGTTCTTTCGTGTTTATGCTTGCAGATGTTTTCTGGAAACGATTACACCAAGTTTCTCTCTCAGCAAGGAATGCAAATGCCAAGTCCTGGTAACAGCTCGCATGGTACCACATCAGGGGTCGGAGGCCATTCAAGGCGTGATTCTGAAACCCAGACTGCCAGTGGAAGTTCTCCTCCCATCGGGTCACATCCGTCCAATGGTACGCCTCAACAAAGTCAGTCTCCTTCGACACCTACGAGTGCAAGAGAAGAGCCTCAATGTTCGAGGCTCAACGATCTTACGTTAGAAGATTTACTCGTCAGTCCGGGTCGTGCACATTTGAAGAAATTAGATCCGAAGCGTCCCCCAGGAACTCTTTGGTAAGTATTTGAAATCTCTTTCAATATTAGTTAGATTTTGTTAGTAATTTCATAATTCTATGTGTTGTGGTTTTATTTTGCAGGTTTGATGATGATCCATGTGTGGCTGCTACTGTCCGTAGTATCTTTGAAAGAGATTTCAAAGAACCTCATGCCAATTGGTCTCAGACTCCAGATACAGTACTTAAACGGTGGTTTGAAACCTTTGCTGTAAGTTAAACTTGTTTAGATGTGTGTTTACGTTTTTATAAGTAGCAAACAAGTTCTGATTAGTTATTTCTTTCTATGGAAGCAAACATACAACTGGGATCGATCAATTAACGGAAGAGTTAAGGTTGAATTTGAAAAGAAGTTGAAGGATAGAATGAGTGACCAAGTGAGTAGATGGAAGGCAAAGTGGAGGGCAAAGGGTGATGAGGCTATGCCGCGCTGGCTTGATCCAACTGTTTGGGCTGGCCTTGTTCGGTACTGGAGTGATCCCAAAACTGAAGCTAAGAGTATCAACAGTCGGAATGCTCGATATCATGATCCAGATGGCACTGGTATATATAAACACCGCTCTGGCCAGACATCTTTTAAAGCCCGTGCTCGAAAACATGTAAGTTTCCTTTCTTCTTTTCCTCTGATTATTTAATGTTGTTTGTCCAAGTTCAGTGGATGATCAATATTATCTCCTTTAGTCTGAGAAAACAGGTGAGAGCTGGTTCTTTGCAAGCTGAGGCGTCTGCAGCCCATACTGGTGCACCTCCTGCTCCATCTGATGATGATCCGGTGGTGCTTAAGGAAAAGCTAGCAGCAACAGGAGCTCTTCTTCAGGAGAGTAATGAGAAGGTAAATTGCTTGCAAGCTTATTTGGATTAATTTGCTGAGAAAGATCCAGAGTTTGCTGCAAGGTTTCGATCTGGAAACCAAGCTGCGCCGAGAGAGACAAACCAGGCTGAGGCTGACATGACAAACCAGGCTGGGGCTGACATGACAAACCAGACTGGGGCTGCCACTCCATCTGACTGTAGAACCTCCTCTGCCATGGACATTAACTTGAACTCTTCTTGAACCTTAGTTTGTTTTTTTCATGGTTTTAGATTTGTAAACCTAAACCTAGTATTGTTTATCATAATACAATTTCTAATTTCTAATTTCTATATTTCATAATTCAATTTCTAAATTCAATTAATTTGTAGCACAATGAATAATCTGGTCTAATTATTAACCAATCTGGATTAACCAATTGTAAGAAACAAAATGATTGTTAAGCCTCGCCAAAATATGCGAGGGAATTGCAGGACCAAGAAATTGCAAGGAACTTGCTACCACATTGGCCCTCACAATTTGCTACGCATATTGCTAGACACGAAAACCTCGCAATAAGTGCGAGTTACCTGCTAGTCATTTGTTCCTCGCAATTTGCTAAGGATATTGCGAGCGAACGAATCCCTCGCAAGAGTGCGAGAAAATTGCGAGGGCGTAAATTTGCGAGTCGCGATTCGCGAGGGAATGAAGATTCTCGCAATTCCCTTGCGAAAGACGTATTGCGAGGGATACGCTAGACATTCTTCCCTAGCAATACGAGTGTTTTCTTGTAGTGTAAGAAACCATAAACATGTCTTTGAAGCAGTAAATGGCTTGTCTAGTGTTTTTTGGGGGTTAGAATATGTTATAAAACAATGAAATTGATTTATAACAAGTGCTAGAGATGAATGAAGAGTGTTTAGAAGTGTGGAGAAAGACTTTTTGAAATTTGGTCTGAAATGGGCTAGGAACCCACAAACATTGCTTTGAAGCATTAAATAGCTTATCTAGTGTTGTTTGGTGTTAGAATATTTTAAAATATAATATATTTGATTGATTACATGTGCTAGAGATGCATGAAAAGTGTTTAGAAGTGTGGAGAAAGATTTCTTGAATTTTGGTCCGAAATGGGCTAGGAACCCACAAACATTGCTTTGAAGCATTAAATAGTTTATTTAGTGTTGTTTAAAATATTTTAAAATACAATAAATTTGATTGATTACTAGTGCTAGAGATATATGAAGAATATTTAAAAATGTGGAGAAAGACTTCTTGAAATTTGGTCCCAAATGGGCTAAAAACTCAGAAACATTGCGTTGAACCAATAAATTGCTTCTCTAATGTTTTTTGGGGTTACAATATGGTAGAACACAAGGAATTTGATTGATTAAAAATGCTAGAGATGCATGAAGTGTGTTTAGAAGTGTGGTGAATGACTTGTTGAAATTTGGTCCACAATGGGCTAAGAACCCACAAACTTTGCTTTGAAGCATTAAATGGCTTGTCCAGTTTTGTTTGGGATTAGAATATGTTATAATACAATGAATTTGATTGATTACAAGTGCTAGAAATGAATGAAGAGTGTTTAGAAGTGTGGAGAAAGACTTGTTGAAATTTTGTCCCAGATGAGCTAAGAAACCATAAACATGTCTTTGAAGCAGTAAATGGCTTGTCTAGTGTTGTTTGGGGGTTATAATATGTTAAAATACAATAAATTTAGATTGATTACAAGGGCTAGAGATCCATGAAAAGTGTTTAGAAGTGTGGAGAAAGATTTCTTGAATTATGGTCCGAAATGGGCTAGGAACCCACAAACATTGCTTTGAAGCATTTAATAGCTTATCTAGTGTTGTTTAGGGTTAGAATATTTTAAAATACAATAAATTTGATTGATAACAAGTGCTAGAGATGCATGAAAAGTCTTTAGAAGTGTGGAGAATGACTTGCTGAAATTTGGTCAACAATGGGCTAAGAACCCACAAACATTGCTTTGAAGCATTCAATGGCTTGTCTAGTGTTGTTTGGGGTTAGAATATATTAGAATACAATGAATTTGATTAATTACAAGTGTTAGAGATCAATGAAAAGTGTTTAGAAATGTAGAGAAAAACTTGTTGAAATTTTGTTCCAAATGAGCTAAGAACTCAGAAATATTGCGTTGAACCACTAAATGGCTTGTCTAGTGTTATTTGCGGTTAGAATACAATGAATTGGATTGATTACAAATGCTATAGATGCAGGAAGAGTGTTTATAAGTGTTCAAAAAGACTTGTTGAAATTTGGTCCCCACTGGGCTAACAACTCATAAATATTGCGTTGAACCACTAAATGACTTTTCTAGTGTCATTTGGGGTTATAGTATGTTAGAATACAATGAATTTGATTGATTTCAAGTTCTAGAGATGCATGAAGAGTGTTTAGAAGTGTGAAGAAAGAATTGTTGACATTTGGTCCGAAATGGGCTAAGAACCCACAAACATTGCTTTGAAGCATTAAATGGCTTGTCTAGTTTTGTTTGGGATTAGAATATGTTAAAATACAATGAATTTGATTGA